ATAAAAGTGAATTCAATTAAAATCATTCAATTCAATAAAAATTACCTATTATAAACTAAAAATTAAATACAACATAAATTCTTGGGAAAATGATTTAATTTAAAAACAGTTTTCTAACAACACTGCAATGACATCTTACAAATACAATCCCAAGTTATCATCACTATTTTGTGTGGTTAAACCTGAAGTCAATGCTATTGAATTTTACTGTTTTTTTAAATTTTAAAAGTTCAAAAATATCCTAAAAATGGACTCAGTTATCGGTATTGAAAAAATACCAAAAAATTACACCAACAGGCAACGGAGGCCGCGGCGATCTCACCAATCTGACAGTTCTCGGCTGATCGTTGGCGTGGTTTGGTTTGGTTTCGGTTCGGCGCCGCAGCGTTCTGCCAGCCATCGCGCAACGCGCCCGTGTGTGTTCAGATTTATTTTTAAGCTATATGCAGAAAATACATTTTCTGCGCGGGCGAAGGAAAAACTACGTTTTCGGGGTCTTTTTCCTATTTCTTGTCGGTCTTCTCTCACCGTGAAGCCATAATATCAATTCATTTCAGTGCAAAATCGAGGTAACTCGAGTTAAAGTGCCCGAAATCGGAAAGGGAAAATATATATATGTATATATATGAGTGGAAAATGTATATGTATTAAGTGTGAAATAAATCTATACTACATGCTGCGAGGTGGCACACTTTGCTCAGCTAGATATAAAAATAAATACAAATATCAGTGCAGTTAAGTCAAGTATAGTTAACAAGTTTACAATTACAGAGTAATTGTTCAATGGAAGTGGCTGGTGTGATTGGTGGAAAGTGAAAAATAGCCCAGCCAAATGAAAAATATGTACTAGCTAGAAGAGAAGATATCTCCCAAAAAAAGTTTAAAAATACCATCGCCACGTATGCTGCTGCCTTTTGCCTCTTGGCTCGGATTTTCGGTACGCACGACCGCCCCTCCTCAGCAGATAAAAGTCGCGGCGTGTCTTTATTGTTGCCACGCGAGGGAAACGCCGAGGGATCAGCGTGTAAGTGAAATGTTCAACAAGCAGCCCCGCAATTAACTAGATCAAGTGTATACTATATATGCATCGATTTAGCTGTCTAAAAATACACAATTTAAAGTGTTCCATGCCGCCAGAGGCATTTGCATGGCATATTTCGCTCGGGCACTAGCGGATAAACGATTTTTGATTCGGGGCAATACCATTTCACTAAACTTAATTTCTCTGTTTCAAAATGGGGCTACAACCGAAAAAAAAACATCGGCCGATCCAACTACGTATGCTTGGTCTAAAATTAGATGGGCGAAACGTCTTCTGGCCCAACGAAAATGACCGACGAACTGCCCCCGAATGTCGATCACACACTATACACTGCAAAAAATTAGGGGTTTTATTAAGGCAATATAAGCAGAATATTTCGAAAAATTAATTAAAATTAGCCTGAATCGTTACTGATTGTCTCTTTAGCTTCAACAACCAATTGCATCTCTCAAAAACATTTTAAAATACACTTGTTCTTATTTAGTTTCTAAAGCTATTCAAAATGTATTTACACTGTTATTTTTTTCGGTGTATCTATACCAAAAAAGCATCAGCTCGCACTCTCTGACGTTTTTCTGTTGTTTCAAAAAATACTTGCCGCACATTTCTCATGGGACACTATAAAAACTAATTTTGCTGATGCCGCGGATTTTATGTTCGCCATCCCAAGTAATCAAAAGAATTTATAGGTTTATTCTATATATATCAACAATGCAAGGATGACGTTTATGTGCTGAATATTTCAAGTGCACTTGTTATTACCAAATGCAAATATAATGTCTTAAAACAGTTTCCAATATCACATGAGATCAAAAACTCAATTCCATTGCCTTCAATTGTTTATAAAACAAAAAATCACATGGGTACCTGGGGAATATTGTGCACAAAAATAAACAAATCATAAAGACGTGATCAAACGGTATGGTATTTATATGAGGAGCGATTAAAAAAACAAAAACACAATGTCCAGGGAACGTTTAAAACACGCTCCAGATACTAATTGGTTGACTGAAATGTATTCAAATTGAATCACAATTTGTGAACATTTATTTCCATGGCCTGCTGAGAAATACCAACAAATCACCGAGCTCCTTTCAGCCGGAAATATATCATTAGGAAAATTGTATAGCTCATCGGCAAACACACCCGAAACAAACTGATTTTATATTATACATTTTGATATATCGGCGAGCGTCAGAACATATTTCGCGATGACTCAGGCAGTCGCTGTGTAAATGAAGTTCAGTCGGAGAAAGGAAAATCGGCGGGGGAAAATGCCCATTTTCATTATTTGACGTCCTCCTTTTTCTCTCAGGGTCTTTCTCTCGAGATGACAGAGAGAGGGATCGATCTCTCTTCAAATGTCAAAAATTTGGGAAAGTGCCCAATGCGCATGCGTTCACCAACAACAGCTGTTTGACAACAAATGCGAGTGCAAGCGAGATAAAAGCATATTAAAAGTTGGAAAACTCTCGCGATCTATTCATAAATTTTTTGGGGCCTTTGAGGAAATTGTATGTGATGAGAGAGAGAACAAAATAAAATACAAATAGGTAAAACATAAATGTTTGGTTCCTGCTTTTCATTGCCCGCCACATTTACGTTCCGATTTCGATTTGTTTGTAAACAAACCGGTTCTTTTTTAGGCGAACAACTTTAGGTTTTTTTGTTTTAATAATATACCTAATCAAAATTGTTATGACAATATTTTTACAATGCGTTTCCGGGTTATAATTAGGGCTATTTATTATGGATACTGTTATTTATATTTAAAGAGGGTTTCATAATTTCATTGAGTATTTGTATTAATGTATTTCGTATTTACACTTTAACATTAATAACGAGGAATTTTAATTTTTTAACGTATTACCATATTTTTCTTCAGTCAAAACTAGCTTTTCAAATTCTTAAGTAATAAATTTGTTTGATCTTTGTATATAAAATAAATTGGTAATATTTTTAATATCCTGAAAAGAATTAGCTTATGAGATGAGTTCTTGCTATGAAAAATTTAGATATTTGGATATATATTTAAACTCAGAAAATAAAGGGAGTTTTTATCAATTTGGAGTCCTTATTGGGTGGGTAAAATCGAAGTTTTCCTAAAACGCAGATTTATTATTATTAATTTATTTATTAGTATTAATTTATTAATTATTGGCAAGTTAAATTATTGTTATTTGTATATATTTTCTTGTATCTATTAAAATAAATAAAAAAAGATTTCTTAATCCAAACTTATTTCAAAAGATTTTATTTAATAAAGTTATTTAGATTCTAAATCCTTTTGGCTATCTGTAATGCAAATAAAATCCATAATCTCAAAAAAATAGTTATGCATTCAATATCTCCTTATTCAGTAACACAAAACGGATATTTTGAAATATTGAAACACACCAAAAAATGTTATCTAACCCGATGTCACAACCTTCGGGGGATACCCAACGCACACCCCAAATCGATAAGCAAGCTCTGCACCCGTAAGCTTTCCTCAAAAGCGGTTGCTTTCTGGAAAAGCTGAATTTTCCTGCACAGTGTGCTTTCGTTGCTGATTCCTGAAACTCGTTCACGTTGCTGGGGTCGCGTGTGAAAAATACAATAAAATACAACGCAGGAAAACCTGGCAAAATCAAAGGCCTAAAACGCCAATTGTAAAGTCTAAATGCTAAAGTCAAAAGCCAAGGGACTGATCGCAGATTAGCGGTGAATAAGTGCAGGATACTTTCACTTTCTTTTGCCGTGGAGGACCTTATGAATTTTTCACACATTCACATGTGTTGGTGCGCAGTGGCCTGGTCCTAGTGCTAGTGTGTGTGTGTGTTCGCCTGTGTTTGAAGGCTATTACATATGCGTGGGTAGGTCAATCGGTCAGCTTGACTGTCTGTCCGACTTCCTGACGCGACTTCTTCGGCTGAAAAGTAGTGGAAAACCCGTTGAATTAATGTAATTAATAACAGGGCGCAGAACATTTCCCAGGCGGCCCATCAAGAGCCAGTGAACAAATTAATTGTAGTGCCAAAAGCGCGCTCTTGACCTCATTTTCCAGCCTGGCGTTTGCTGTTACTTCCCCGGAAAACACCGGCTTTCCTGCCACACATTAATCAAGCCCTGTCTTTTTTCGGGAAATGAGCCTATTGTGCACATTGTGCATATTGCTTTCAGCAACAAAATAAAAAGAAAATAATTTTTGTGGATTTTCTGGCACCTTGGTGAAAGTTTGATTTGTTTGCTGCAAAAGGCTTAAAGCTCGGCTGCAAAAGGAGCTTGCTGGCAAGAGAGAGAGAGGAGAAAAGTGGCTCTCTCTTGGCCAAAAGTTGAGTTGACAGTTTGGGGAAAATGCGACAACAAATGGAAAATGTAAACATTGCGCGTGTTTTTGTTTAGATTCTCTTACTCTCTCTCTCCCACTCTCTGTGTGTCTGCAGTGTGTGTGTTACTGGGTTATGGTTACTATATATAGGAAACGCCACTCAATGATAAGTTATCAGCGCTAATGAAAATTCGTGGCCTGTTCACTCAAACGGAATTTAGGAAAATCCAATAAAGTGCGCGCTGAAAGCAACAGTTGCCTAAAAATAAGTCCTAACAACAAGCCATTACTGGAGATCTACACAACTCAACAACTGACTACCGACTAATAAACAATGCCAAATTTTTATAAACCGTCGCTTTAAACTCGTCCAATTAAGTTAAAGAAAGAGAAAACATATAGTTTAAGCCATCACCGTCGATGTTCTACACCCTTCTCAAACACAACAATAAAAAGCTTTCCCCCGTGAGATATATATATATATTTATATATAAGTGTGTCTGCGTGACGACTGGGACCAAACACACCTGTTGATGCCATACCTTTTACCGCTTTGCGTTTTCGGCACTTGGCAAGCACTTTTCTCCAACAAAAGTGTATTTTTCAAATAATTTTCAAAGAGAGGCAAATAAAATTGAGCGTCCGAATGAAAATTCAAATATGAATACAGGTAAAAAGCACTTATCTGTTTTACTGTCTTCTATGTATATACATATGTTGTCTATGATTATTTATTTACATTTTTGTTTAATTTAAGCAAATTCGATTAAAGTTTGTGACAGTTTCTGGAAATACATGGCGTATACGTATTATTTTTGAAACACGTATACGTAATATTTCGTATACGTAATATTTTTGATACAAGTAAACAAATATAGGATTTATCTTTAATTTATGCTGTGAACTCATATAATACATGCACAGGTCTTAATCTAAACCATGTGTTTTAGACTTTGACTGCAACCAAAATAAATAAAAATTAAGTATACGCATCTGAAATATATTGAAACAATTTTGAAATAAAATTGAAAAAGAGGAAAATAAGGAATTGAGAAAAGTCATTTAAATATTATTATAAACATTCTTAAACACATTTTAATTGACTTCATTGATTTTTTTGTAAGGTATAGAGATGAGATTTTATAATATTTCGTTACTTTTGATCTTATTTAGTAGAATTACTCATTTGTATTTGTCAATATTTGAGGTTTTTTTTCTGCCGCAACTTACAAACAAATCGAAAAGCAATTTGATTGATTAACTGAGCTAATAACCTGACCTCTTCCCACCCTCTGTGCCACAAATTAACGTCGTCGTCGTAATTGTTATAATCCAAAAAGGAGACCGTAAGGAGCAAGCCCCATTAACACCACAACAATCGCCGACGCAGCCGGAGCAGCAACAGCCAATTACCAGACACGATGCCTTGGACAGTTCTAGTTCCACCAATAAGCTAAATCATAAATTCAATAACGATAAGGATAAGGATAAGGATAATAAGTCTAGCGATAAGAGAAGGGAGCCCGGCCGAGATTTACTGCCAACGGCCAGTGTTGTCATCGTTGATGAATCATGCGCGCCGACGAGGACCCAGGAGTCGAGCTCTATCTCAAGGAGCGGGAGCTCCACCAAGACCTCCTCCTCGCAGCGACGCCGCCAATTGCAATTCCAGAGACAAAAGGAGGCCAAACTTTATGACCGCGGCAAAGGCGGAGGCGGAGATGAGGCGTCGACCTCAACTTCGGCCACGGCCACGGCCGCAGCCTCCAATCCCCCGCCGATGGGCGGCGGAGAGCTCGTGAACTGTATAGCCTACGATGACAACACCCTGGTCATAGAGCGCAAGCCCTCGCCCACCTCCCCGTCCACCTCGCGTCGCTATCTGAAGGCCGAGACGCCGACGCGTGGCAGTCGGAAGTACAATCGCAAGTCATCGTCGCCCAAGAGCGACCTGGAGGTGGTGGTGGTCCGTCCCGAGCACCATCATCAGCATCGATCGCCCACGATAACGCTGCCGGTGCCGGTGGCCACGTCAACACTGACCACATCGGCATCCGCGGGCACAACGCCCACGGGAGCAGGCCTGGGAGCCGGACTGGGAACTGCAACGGGGACGGTCCTGCAACAAAGGTACATGCAGCTCCAGCTGGAGCACGAAAAGAAATACATTTTCCATGCCATGCAAGAGTTCGATTTAATGGAACAAACTAGACGGTCTAGGGCATAGTAAGTCGGAACCAGACCCCACAAATTAACTATCGTACACGTACTCGTACTCCTATCGTGACTAAATGTTGTCCCTAGCTGTCCAGTGTCCTGTGTTTGTCCCCCCACGTTCTCTTTGGCTGTCTTGGTGTGAAAATGAAAACGCATGCAAAATCAAGAAATAAAATATTTAAAATGTTTTTAGGATACTTGGAAAAGTTTTAATAGCATATTCTTTGTAACTTGAAATATATGAGCAAAAAAGGGGGCTAAAAATTAAACATGTTGCTGCTTTATCCCAGAGAATAATCAATTGTCTGCGGGAATGTGGGCTTTATTATTATTAACTTTATTATTTAATGGGTGGGCTATTGTTTCTAGATTAATACCTCAGACGCTTAGAAGTTTAGATTGAAGTTTATAAGTGCTTATACATTCGGGTATGACATTAGTTGTATAATTTAACGACTACAAATAATGGAATAGATTTTTACTACACATTTTCAAACTCACTTAAAATTTTGCAAAACTCTAAGATTTAAGCAAACTTTTAAAGGGTTTAGGAATACTTAAGCAATGTTTTGGTGAACTACTAAACTAAACTGTAATTTTCAGCCAAAATCTTGGCACCAATCTTGGATTTTTATTACTGATTTGAATATTTATGCCAAATTAAGTCGTTATCGAATAAACACATTTAGCTTACAGCTGCCATGAACCGCCAAAAGCCAAGTCAGACAAAATTTGTTTGTTTATTTAGAAAATTTCAGTAAATATCTGTGGATTATCTTACATTTTAACATGTAGTTACCAAATGAATCATATACCTTCTGGTTTTTCGAGCTCATTGCTGTAAACAATTATGAATCACGGTGAAAAAAATCAAAATTATTATATTACATTACAATTATATAGGTAACTAAGGAGATTTATTATTCATCTACAATATTTTATGCAGATTGTAATTTAAAATATTGTGAAAAGGCACTATTTAGTGATGCTGGATGCCAAGGCAATTTGTAAATGGTTTCCATCAAGGGTTTCATTAAAGCGAAGTATGTAATAAGGCAATGGAACACTTTAAAATTGAAAAGCAAAATCTTATTGTATATTTATATACACCGAAAAAAATAAGGAAGCTTAATTAACAATTTATAAATTCGTTAACTAATACAGGCACCTTTTAAAGTTTTTTAAGTACCGAAAAGGTTTATTCACTTGTAAAAGCTAATGTAAAGACGAACTTAAGTGATGCCCGATGTTATCCTGTCCTGATTATGCATTTAAGCCTTATTTCTTTCGGTGTACACCCCCAAAACCTGTAGAATAAATGGTTAATTGCGCGTGCATGACGATTTGACTTTAAAGAACTCATGTTAATTTTTAATTCTTTGCCCAAACAGTTGCAGTGCGCTTGAACCTCTCGACGATCCCGGTCAGCCTGGTCCTGGTGGTGCCAGGAGGAGACCCACCAGCACTGAACTCGCTCTCAGCAACGTCACCAGCCAGATTGTGAACAACGCCACCTACAAGCTAGACTTCAAGCAGCGCCGTCACAAAAGCAACAACGGAGGCCCTGAGTCCGCTGCAGCAGCAGGCTCTGGACCTGGAGCGGGATCAGGATCAGGATCTCTCACTGGACTAGCTGCCGGTTCAGGCTCAAGTCCGGGACAAGCGGCAGGACCCTCGACCGGCGGCAGCGGAAGCGGAAAACGCCGCAAGTCCAGCTGCACTTCCTGCGGAGGCGGTGGCATCAGTGCTCCGCCTAGACTCACGCCCGAGGAGGCGTGGCAGCTGCAGCCGCAGAATAGTGTGACCAGTGCCGGGAGCACCAATAGCAGCTACAGCAGCGGCGCAGGGCGGGACGAGGACAGCAGCTACAGTGCCGTCGGCGGCGACAGCAGCAGCAGCAACAGCTGCAACTGCGACATCACCGGCGACAATAGCACGCTGCATGGGTTTGGCGTGGGCGACGTCAGCAGCTTCATCGGCGATTGCGACGAGTGCGACCACGACCACGAGGACGACCCCGAGGACGAGTCTCAGACGCTGCGCACGGCTGCCATCGTAGCGGCAGTTGCAGCAGCAGCCAAGGAGGCCCGCGACCGGGATCAGGACCAATCGCTGGGCGCCGGCGGCAACACAGATTGCGAAAGCTTCAGTGAACGGCGCCAGGATGCCGATGAGGGCGTCCGGATCATCCAGGATAGCGGCGGAAACAACGACTCACTCGAGGACGTCGGTGAGGTGGATGACAACGCCGATGTGGTGGTGAGAAAGAATACACGAAACCGTCCTTCGATCAGAAGGACATGTAGAATCACCGAAGAGGACGACGACGACGACGACGTTGAAATCGATCAAGAGGAACAGGAGGTGGACGACGAGGAGCCGGAGGGCACCACCATAGACATTGATGAGCAGGAACAGCAGGAGCAGCAGCAGCAGCACGAAGACGAATACGTTGAGGACGAAGACGACGACGACGAGGACGTTGACGAGTATTTCGAGGAGGAGGAGGACGACACCCAGGCCTTTTCGCCATTCTACTCCAGCTCAGCGGAGCTCATAGACAATTTTGGAGGCGGCGCTGGAAAATTCTTCAACATCATGGACTTTGAGCGTGGAGCCGCCGGCGGTTATTCGCCGAACGGCAATGGAGGAGGATCTGGCGGCGGAGATGCATCCCAAGGAGCGCGTTATGCCGGCGAGGGAGAACTGGGCGGAGGGAACAATATAATGGGTGAGTCAGAAATCAAAATAAATTTGCCTCAAAGGATTTAATTACAAAGAGATCTCTGAAGGGATCCTTAAAGAAGATATTTACATTTATTAGAAGTATTCTTGCAAGGATTTCTTGATTATAATTTGAGAAATGAGATATGAAACCTTATTCCGCTTATCTTCTATCATTCCCAGGCATCGATTCAATGGGCATAGCAAACATTCCGGAGACCATGAATGGCACCACCATCGGACCCAGTGGAGCCGGTGGCCAAAAGGGAGCGGGAGCTGCTGCCGCTGGCCAAAAGAGACCCCAGCGGAGGGGCAAACCGCAACCGGATCGCCCACAAAGAGCACTATTTTGTTTGAGTGTAAAGAATCCCCTCCGTGCCCTGTGCATCCGCATCGTGGAGTGGAAGTATCCTTTTAAAAGAAACAAAAAAAATTGCTAATGAAATCGATATCTTGATCGATAATATTTAAGACAACCTCTTTATAGATTGTTAGGCCAAACCTTATTTCTCACCTGATTTTCCTTAACCAACAAACCCCTTTAGACCATTCGAGTTCCTTATTTTGTTAACCATATTTGCCAATTGTGTTGCCTTGGCTGTCTACACGCCTTATCCGGGCAGCGATTCAAATGTTACGAATCAGACTTTGGTAAGTTATTTCATTGACCGAACCTGTTCAACAACTAAAGATTATAACTTGAATTATGTATTACTAATGACTATGAATTTTTCCCATGTATCTTTTATATTCACCTCACCCGCATCCGAATCACACATTCAATCAACTCATAAAACCCATCATCGATACAAAAAAAAAAAACAACCTGAAAAACCTCAATCCGAAAACACACGCACTACAAAATCAAAATCAAAACAAAACCCAAAATCAACACGGAACACACAGGAAAAAGTTGAATATGTATTCCTAGTTATATTCACAGCGGAATGTGTTATGAAAATTTTAGCATATGGTTTTATGTTACATAATGGTGCATATCTAAGAAATGGATGGAATTTATTAGATTTTACAATTGTAGTTATAGGGTAAGCATTCAAAATATTCCAGTTAAAAGCGCAAAGCGCCCAGGCCCCCAACCGGCCTCGTTTTAACCATTTTCTATGTTACCTTATATCCAATTTAATCAAAATTTTCAAGAATCAAAATATCAAGAAAAAAGATTAACTGATAACGAAATTATGCCAAGACTGAGACACGTATGAACTTTGTATGCCACACATTTTTACAGAGCGATTAGCACAGCACTCTCCCATTTGATGAAGGATGCGTTCGATGTGAAGGCCCTCCGGGCCTTTCGTGTGCTACGTCCGTTGCGACTTGTATCGGGTGTACCAAGTAAGAGCTTCACTGTACCACGAAAAAAGCTATAGAGAGCAAATCACTAGAACTGAATGTCAAGCGAAAATTCCAAAAAATACCACGGTTCAAATCGTGGATAAAATGCGGCACAGAATTACAATTTATACTTAACTTAAAAATAATATTTAACAAATTTCCGAATCCTTACTTTACTTAGTACTCAAATTGATCTTGTTATAATCATAATTTCTAATATTAATTTCAATTAAATTGCTACTTAAGACCTGTTATTAGCTCTCAATTTAACTAAAATAACAGTCAGATCTGTGCCGTGTTTTCAGCTTATACTTTAATTGCTTGTCCTAGATATTTGGCCAGTAACAAACCTAATGAGCACAAGAAAAAAGCAAAAAATCCCAATCGAATCGAATTGGCTATTCATAATGCTATTCTACAGGTCTACAGGTTGTGCTTAATTCAATTTTAAAGGCCATGGTGCCACTGTTTCACATTGCACTCCTGGTAATATTCGTAATCATAATCTACGCGATCATTGGCCTAGAGCTATTCTCTGGCAAACTGCACAAGGCGTGTCGCGACGAGATCACAGGTAAGCGGACATACACCCACATCGGCCCCTATCGAACCGTACAATATTTATACGTTGTTCGAATATCATTCAATTGTCTTGAATGCCACCAGATATGTCGCATTACAAAATCAGCGTCCAAAGGTTCTATCACTAGTAGATTAGTGACTCAGGAAATCGGAGGCCTGCACCACCCCAGAAACCCAATCCACTTCCCACTTCCACTTCCACATCTCGAAATTGCCTCGATTTCCGACTAATCTGCTAGTCAATAAAACTGTTCGTGTAAACAATGTTCTGGACAAGTCAAATATGCCAAAGATGCGGCATATTCCGCAAATGATACTACACAAAAATGAATCAGAAACAAAACAGAACAAACACAAGGCACTCCCACGAACACAACGAGTCTCAAAGAAATCATTCCATCATCCCATCACATTTCATTCCATCACTAATGCATGAATCCTAAAAACAAAATCGAAATCCAACAAATTGGAATCTAGGTGAATACGAGGACGAGATCCGGGCCTGCGGCGGAGGCTATGAGTGTCCGCCGGGCATGAAGTGCTACGGCGGCTGGGATGGACCCAATGATGGCATCACCAATTTCGACAACTTCGGCCTGGCCATGTTGACGGTGTTCCAGTGCGTCACCCTCGAGGGCTGGACTGATGTCCTGTATAACGTAAGTGGTCTGAAAATATGAAATTTCCTCATTAAAAATCTAAAAAGTTGAGTTTCTAAAACCTTGGCATAATATAAGCCATTTTGTTTTGTATATATTATGAATTATTAAAACTGTTGGTAAGTTCTTTTGCCTTGAAAGCTGTTAATTATATGTTTAAATTAATCAAAATTTTCACCTTTTTAGATCCAAGATGCCATGGGCAGTGACTGGCAATGGATGTACTTCATTTCCATGGTCATCCTGGGTGCCTTTTTCGTGATGAACCTGATTCTTGGTGTGTTGTCCGGAGAGTTCTCCAAGGAGCGTAACAAGGCCAAAAATCGCGGTGACTTCCAGAAGCTACGCGAGAAGCAGCAGATCGAGGAGGATCTGCGGGGCTACCTCGACTGGATAACCCAGGCGGAGGACATTGAGCCGGATGCCGTCGGTGGTCTAATATCCGACGGCAAAGTTAAGCAACCCAACGAAATGGACTCCACCGAAAACTTGGGTGAGGAGATGCCCGAAGTTCAGCTAACAGAGTCACGATGGCGCAAGATGAAGAAGGACTTTGATCGGGTCAATCGCCGAATGCGACGTGCCTGCCGAAAGGCCGTCAAGTCTCAGGCTTTCTACTGGCTCATCATTGTCCTGGTGTTCCTCAACACGGGTGTCCTGGCCACGGAGCATTACCAGCAGCTCGATTGGCTGGACAACTTTCAGGGTAAGTCTAACTAAAGAGCCTTAATTATTATGTAAATTTAATCCATTTCTTATATTTTTTCTATAGAATACACAAACGTGGTCTTCATCGGCCTCTTCACCTGCGAAATGTTGCTGAAGATGTACAGTCTGGGCTTTCAGGGTTACTTTGTTTCGCTGTTCAATCGCTTTGATTGCTTTGTGGTGATTGGCAGCATCACTGAGACCCTTCTGACCAATACTGGAATGATGCCTCCCTTGGGTGTCTCTGTGTTGCGTTGTGTGCGTCTTCTGAGAGTCTTCAAAGTGACCAAGTAAAATAATGCTTCACATAATACTAATTTCCTATATAACAAAACCCTTCTCTATCCTTTAGATACTGGCGATCCCTATCGAATCTCGTTGCTTCCCTATTGAACTCCATACAATCGATTGCTTCGCTTTTGTTACTGCTCTTCCTATTTATTGTGATATTTGCCCTGCTCGGCATGCAAGTCTTTGGCGGCAAGTTTAATTTCAATGGCAAAGAGGAGAAGTATCGAATGAATTTCGACTGCTTCTGGCAGAGCCTGCTCACAGTCTTTCAGGTAAAGCTATAGTAACACAGATTTGGAATATCAAGTAATGCAATTATTTGGACAGATCATGACTGGTGAGGATTGGAATGCTGTGATGTACACGGGCATCAATGCCTATGGTGGAGTCTCCTCCTACGGTGCCTTGGCCTGTATTTACTTTATCATATTGTTCATATGCGGTAACTATATATTGCTGAATGTGTTCTTGGCCATTGCCGTGGACAACTTGGCTGATGCCGACTCTCTATCGGAGGTGGAAAAGGAAGAGGAGCCTGTAAGTGTACAGATTAGTCTGATTATTTATATGGAAAATCTCAACGATACCCTTTTGTTTAGCACGATGAATCAGCCCAGAAAAAGTCTCATAGTCCCACCCCCACCATCGATGGCGAAGATGATCATCTGAGCATTGATTTGGATATGGATCACAATGAACTGGATGACGAGGACAAAATGTAAACAATGCAAACTTATTTAATTAGCTATCCTTTATTCAATTAAAACGATACTGATGCATATTCTTGGTTTTCAGGGATCATGAAACTCTCTCCGATGAGGAAGTCCGTGAAATGTGCGAGGAGGAACAAGAAGGTATGTTTAATTTAATGAGCAAATTCCCTGACAATTACAACTAAGCTTCAGTCTAAGGTTTATACATAAACTAAGAATTCAAATTAGGTATATTAGCTTACGCTTAGACATTCTAAAAACTAACACATATCGAAACCAAACCAAAAATATTTCCTAAAACTATGCCGCCGATGCCATCATACTTCGCTGCTAATTACTTGGAAACCTCGCACCCAACAAATAAAAACCTGCCAAAAACACACAACAAAAAACACTCGAAATTATTAATCGAAAGACTCCAATTCCGAAGTATCAGCACGTGTCACTGCACGACCCCGGCGATTATCCGAAGTCAGCATGAAGAAGACTAAAAAGCCCATTCCGCGAGGCAGTGCATTTTTCATTTTCAGTTACACGAACAGGTAAATCAATCAAGCAATCCATCACTGATCGAAAACCAAATCCAACAAACCAAACATACAAAACAAACAAACAGTCGCACACTCGTTGATATGGTTCATGTGTCTTGTGATTTGAGTTACTTTCCTTTGATCCTTACCCTGGTTTGCACATTGGTTCAGCAGTTTGTGATTCGCATGTGACAAACAAATCGAATTATAAGTCCCCCATCGAGCTGTATCTAATGCGTATTTGCGAATGTACATATATTTTAACTTGTAATCTTTTCGAAACAAGAAACCAACCCATATACGATGCTCATTGTTTTATTTTTTGTTTCTTACCTTGGTTTTATTGCATTTTGCTGTTAAGGTTGGCCAATCATAAGTACATTATATAGATATTATATACAACGTTTTTTAAATGCTGGTATATGATCGTATAGTAGGTAAACGATACCGATACACATATGACACTGCAGAACTGATTATTTTTTGTAAGAATCTAGGTTTAATTTTAAGGTATTTTGTAATTGAACCGTTTAAATGACTCTCGGTCATATTTGCTCATAATTGTGTTTATTATTTTTCCAAATTGGCAACCACAAACATATATACATGTAATATATGATAAAAAAAATATTTTATTGCATATAGTGGATGAAGAAGGCATGATTACAGCACGGCCACGACGTATGTCCGAGGTTAATACGGCCACGAAAATTCAACCCATACCGCCGGGCACATCATTTTTCTTTTCTCACAAAAGAACAGGTTTTTATTATTATGTTTTAGTTATAATTTTCCCTCAGTTTAAGATGTCTGACAAATATTTTGTACATGTGCGTGTATGTGTGTGTCTGTAAAGCATAATATTTTGTGATAATGTGTCCTGTGTCCTTTTTAACCCGGTTTCGTGAATTGTCCTTAAGTGAAACAAGTAATAAACACCATCCTGAATTCATTTTTATTTGATTAGTATTTAGTGACCCCATTTAAGTAGACGAACTTTGTTTAGATTCATAAATATTAGCTGCTTTTATACCATTTTTTATTGTTTCTATAACTTGTCTTGTGAACATTCTAATCCTGCATGATCTGTAATTAAGTTTTTTTTTTTTTTTTGTGTTTTTAATGTTTTGTAAATTCGAAATACCTTGACTTAGTTTATTAACTATCTTCCTTTGCTGACAGATTTCGCGTCTTCTGCCACTGGCTCTGTAATCACAGCAATTTCGGCAACATTATCCTGTGTTGCATCATGTTCTCGTCGGCCATGTTGGCAGCCGAGAATCCTTTGAGGGCCAACGATGACCTGAATAAAGTAAGTAGCTCCTGTTCCAACCAAAATGCCATCAAGTGAATTCAAAAAACTTGTAAGTTAATCAATCAAGTTTGATCAATGCTTGGACTAGAGTTGACAACACTTTAATGCTTTATTCTATCTGAACACACTTTTCATTCCGGTGTCTATCACTGTCCATTTGTTTTTCAGGTGCTCAATAAATTTGATTACTTTTTCACGGCAGTTTTCACAATAGAACTGATTCTGAAATTGATTTCTTACGGCTTCGTGTTACACGACGGAGCCTTCTGCAGGTCCGCATTTAATCTATTAGATTTACTTGTGGTCTGCGTCTCATTGATATCTCTAGTGTCCAGGTAAACGATAACTCATTTAACTACTCTAACCCAGTAGTTGTGATACTAATTACTTCTGGAATAAAAACAATAACGTCGATTTCAACTGCAGTTCGAATGCGATTTCAGTCGTGAAAATTCTACGTGTGCTCCGTGTTTTAAGGCCGCTCAGAGCCATCAATCGTGCCAAGGGTCTCAAGGTAAGAATTCATCTAAAGCACTCTATCTCTCTACTCGCCATTTTTCCTTTATTTTTTATTATTTGATTTTCTGACACACAAATAACTTTTGCTTCCATTAAAAAGGTTTTTATTTCGATTAAATAATTCAGTTGCGAGAAGCGCACAAAGATAACTCGTTTTATTTCAAGCAATTATCATTTTAAGACAAATAACTTGAAAGATGTGGTATTTGGCCTTTAACAAAAGATTAAACCAAACATAAAACCTTGAAATGCTGGGTGTAGGGTGCACCACAATCGAATTATACAAAAAAAATATATTTTAATGAATTATACACAGCTGAAAAGAACAATTTTAGTTTTGAGCTTTATTCGTAACACCTAACGAAAATGGGCGTGGAATAGAAATGTATGGGCGTGGCTTGGGCATAGTGATATCTATGTAATAACACTGATACTAAACACACGACCACCGATTTGTGAGCGCAAACAAAGGAAGTCAGAATAAGCATTGTCTACGATATAAGTTCTATATATTTTAAATGAGAGTAATTCTACTATAACTATATATCGTCGTATCACATACAGCATGTTGTTCAATGTGTCATAGTCGCGGTTAAGACTATCGGAAATATTGTGCTCGTCACATGCCTACTGCAATTCATGTTTGCCGTTATAGGAGTCCAATTGTTTAAGGTATGATTTTAATTTTTAAGTTTTCATTTAATTTATTATATAGTTTTTTTTTTATTAAGTGCGTGCCTAAGATAATAGGGTTAGAAAAAAAGCAGAGCCAATGCATTTAATACCCCTGTACCAGAAGTTCCCAAGTCTGGATTCTGACACAAGCTTACAAAATGTATATTAATTACCAATATAATTATGTCACTTAATAAAGGGTATTAAATGCAATAAATTTAAGAGATTTGTATAAAAAATGTGAATTAAATCGCCATTAATGTAAAAAGAGAGCAGTCTAGCATGAACCCTTTCCTAATACTTAAGGTTACTTAGCTTAGTCTTTATATTTACAAAGTTTTAAAGATAGTAACAGTTTAGTTTAATACAACAAGTTAAAATTAGGTGGAGTTTTGTTTAGATGTTTAAGAGATATGTACAAAACATTTATTATTCACACACACATGCAATTTCCAAAGAATTTTCCTAACATTGTGTTGTTCTAAATTAATTTTCGTTTCAATTTGCCACGATTAATATTGCTTGACAAGTTGGTTATTTCTTTAGTCTTAAATATATTTACTAATTTATGTACAGCATAATTGGTTCTACTAATAACGAAATCAGTTTAGTTAAGAACAAAAAACGGATGAAAATGTAAATAATGAAAAACCTTTGCTGCCTAGTATTTGCTTATTAATGCGCAGCCTAACACTCAAGGAGCACTCGGTATAGAAGCGTAAAAATCAAAGATTTATCAACACTGAAGAAGAGGATTGCATAGGAATTCCAAAGCCACCTTAGTTCTCGGACTTATTGTTTCTCGGATACCTAATTAACAAGACTAGTGATTACACCGATCCTAATACAACTCACACTACTCAAAAACACACACACATTATGCATAAATTATAATCAAAATCAATTCGTATATATTCCACACCCATTTTCTGCGTTTTGTACACGTCTAAATGCAACAAATCGATATATAGATATCGACAGTGAGCGATCATGAACGCACCCACACACATCCAATGTACTCAAAGTTTTCCAAAAGCACACACACCACAGCACCAGAGTCTTGGGTTTTTCCCCTCCAGCATCCAAAGAAGCAACCTACCTTGCACCCTAGCATCAAGGCGAAACAATCCCATAAACTAAGCTTCCAAGGTGTAAAAATAAAACCCCTTCGAGCCTTGCGGACCATCGGAACTAACAATCCATTTTAACATTTCCATTTGTAAAGCTGAATGAATCCACAGTAAAATTTATCTTATCCAAAAGTTTTTCTATGGATTTATATTCATTTTATTATATACTCAAACACTTTATTATTTTATCTAACCCACTCAAATTAATTATTTAACGATACCCATTTCAACCTTTAAACCAAAATCTTACTTTTAGAATGTTTAAACCAAATACCAAACTTCTTTAGGATGATGTCCCAATGTATTTTAAATGTATTTTCTTCCTTTTCTCTCCTTGAACATGTTTTTGGTTGTTTTTAATTGAATTTTGACAACACATCAAACGAAATTTGTATAAAATTAATACTGATACCATTTCAAACCTTTGTTTTCATTGCAAAAAAATCCTAAACATAAAAATGTGGCCACCAAAAATAAAACAAAAACACAACACCTAACCCTATATTATTGATGCTGACAAATCACACACAAACTTGAATTGAAATGAAAATCAAATTATTCAAATATCATAATCACGTCACAAATTAAAAAAATCCAACCAATTGGCCAACACTGAAACATTACGAACTTCTGCAGTATGTGGTCAAGTGCGTTGTAGTCGCAATCAAAACCATCGGTAATATCATGTTGGTGACATATTTGTTGCAATTCATGTTTGCTGTTATTGGAGTACAACTCTTTAAGGTAATTTCTTTGAATTTTATATGAAAAGTGATTTGGTGAAGGGTGTCTTCAGTTGGCTTTAAGTGTGCGCTTCTATATTTTTTGAAAGGAATAAAATATAAATAAATAGAAAAACAATTTCTGCTTAATGTGCTTTGAATTTGATGTGTTTTTTTTCCATCTGGGTGTCTGTGTTTAGGTTAAATTTTTATGATAGTTCCAACCAAAAAAGGTAACTATTCTCAATGTCACATCTCTGAATTATAGACAGAACCAATCTTTTTGTATGGCAAAGTCTGAGTCTAACGAAAGCTACGCTTTGCAATAGTTTTGGTAAATGAAAGCAATTTCAAAGGCTTTACCAACCGGCTTAGTTATGTTTCTGTTTTTTGGCTTCTCCAAACTAACCTCAAGGCAAGAGTGTCGTTGGCTGGCTCCCCTGCTAATCCAGTGTAATATATTTCTATATTTTTCCCATGTATCTAACACCATTTAAAACCCAGTAACAACTCGTTGTTGTCCCGTCTGTAAATATTGCGTTTGTCCACAAAATGAAAAATAAAAACTAAAACCGTTCTCGTCCTTCCAAATAATCTCAAGTCGTGTATGTAAATGTGTTTGCATATGAAAAATCCTGTATATGTGTGCATACATTAAATTCAAAAAATCATAGAGCATAGAGATAGTCTATCGTATTCTGCTCCATACTATATTTTTGATTAGGTCTTAGTTAATAGTCCGTACAGTAAAGCAGTTTTAATGTTTGTAATTTTGAGGAAAGCAACCTCAAAGGATGTTATTTTCCCCTTGAGTTTGCTATGCCTTTGACTTAACTGGCATTACTTTCCATATTCTAATACTTTGCTGTCTTTCCATCGACGCTTCGTTCCTCTGCATTTCCCCAAAAAACTTTCGTAAAAATAGGGTAAATTTTTCAAGTGTACTGATGGTTCCAAAATGACTGAAGCTGAATGCTAGTAAGTACTGATTTTATTAATAACATCAATAAATAAATGAAAAATCCTTTATAGTGGCACCTATCTGGTCTACGATGACGGTGATGTCCACAAGCCACGTCTCAAGGAGCGAGAATGGAGCAACAACCGATTCCACTTTGACGATGTGGCCAAAGGCATGCTGACCCTTTTCACAGTGTCCACCTTTGAGGGCTGGCCCCAGTAAGTTTGAAATAAAAGTTCTCTGAGTGCCTCAGATCCTTAAATATTTCAATTTCAGATTACTTTATGTTTCCATCGATTCGAATATGGAAAATGGTGGCCCCATACACAACTTCCGTCCGATCGTAGCTGCCTACTATATAATCTACATTATTATTATTGCCTTCTTCATGGTGAACATATTCGTTGGTTTCGTTATTGTCACCTTCCAAAACGAGGGCGAGCAGGAGTATAAGAATTGTGATCTGGATAAGAATCAACGTAATTGCATAGAATTTGCATTAAAAGCAAAGCCTGTAAGGCGATATATACCCAAACATGGTATACAATATAAAGTCTGGTGGTTCGTAACTTCCTCATCATTCGAGTACACTATATTCGTATTGATCATGATAAATACGGTAACGCTGGCCATGAAGTTCTACAATCAACCTCTGTGGTACACGGAACTTCTCGATGCTTTAAATATGATATTTACAGCAGTTTTTGCACTGGAATTTGTTTTTAAATTGGCCGCCTTTCGATTTAAGGTAAGTGAAGTCAAATACTTATAAAAAGAGATATATAATTCTTCGTATTTATAGAACTACTTTGGCGATGCCTGGAACGTTTTCGACTTCATTATTGTTTTGGGCAGTTTCATAGATATTGTCTACTCTGAAATCAAGGTTGGTAACAGTGCTAACTGTTTAAGATCTAATAAATCTGATTTGTTCATATCCACAGAGCAAAGATACGTCTCAGGCTTCTTGTGACATTGTCGAGGGTTGTAAATCCAAGGCGAAGTCGGTGGGTTTTAATTGATTTTGTATTGATTACAGAAATATTTAAATAATTTATGAATTTAACTAACTTTCAGGGTGGCTCGAATCTTATATCCATTAATTTCTTCCGACTGTTTCGTGTTATGCGACTTGTCAAGCTTCTTAGCAAAGGAGAAGGCATTCGCACCTTACTTTGGACATTTATAAAATCTTTTCAGGCTTTGCCCTATGTGGCTTTGCTTATTGTACTTTTATTCTTTATTTATGCAGTGGTTGGAATGCAAGTAAGTTTCCTCAAGAAGATCCTAAGGTCCTAGGACTCATGTTCACTTTTTTTCCAAGGTTTTTGGCAAATTGCATTGGATGGCGGCAACTCCATTACGCACAACAATAACTTCCAGACCTTCCAGCAGGCAGTTTTGGTGCTATTCCGATCAGCCACCGGAGAGGCGTGGCAGGATATCATGATGTCCTGTTCGGCCCAGCCGGATGTTAAATGTGACATGAACTCGGATACGCCTGGGGATGCCTGCGGCTCCTCAATAGCCTATCCCTACTTCATTTCCTTTTACGTTCTCTGTTCGTTTTTGGTAAGTTATGGTAACTAACTCTTCCTAGGAAGTGAATACATATCCCCCTATTCTTGCAGATCATTAATCTTTTCGTGGCTGTCATTATGGACAACTTCGATTACCTGACCCGCGATTGGTCCATCCTGGGTCCCCATCATCTAGACGAGTTCATCCGCCTGTGGAGCGAATACGATCCGGATGCCAAGGGTCGCATCAAGCATTTGGACGTGGTCACATTGCTGCGAAAGATATCGCCACCGCTGGGCTTTGGCAAGCTCTGTCCACATCGCATGGCCTGCAAGCGGCTGGTGTCCATGAACATGCCCCTTAACTCCGATGGAACTGTTCTCTTCAATGCCACCCTTTTCGCTGTGGTCCGCACCTCCCTTAGCATCAAAACGGAGGGCAACATCGATGATGCCAATGCCGAACTACGGGCCACCATAAAGCAGATCTGGAAGCGGACCAATCCAAAGTTGCTGGATCAAGTGGTTCCGCCGCCGGGCAACGATGATGAGGTGACAGTGGGCAAATTTTACGCCACCTATCTCATCCAGGACTACTTCCGGCGCTTCAAGAAGCGCAAGGAGCAGGAGGGCAAGGAAGGACATCCGGATAGCAATACGGTCACCTTGCAGGCGGGTCTTCGAACCCTGCACGAGGTGTCACCGGCCCTCAAGAGAGCCATTTCCGGCAATCTCGATGAACTGGACCAAGAGCCAGAGCCCATGCACCGGGTAAGAGAAGATTTTGCTTTCAAATAAATTACTTTGCTATATTCTCATTACTCCTCCTGCAGCGTCACCATACGCTCTTCGGCAGCGTTTGGTCGTCGATCCGGCGTCATGGCAATGGAACCTTCCGGCGGAGCGCCAAGGCGAATGCCTCGCAGAGCAATGGAGCTCTGGCCATCGGTGGCTCCGGGGCAGTGGGCATGGGTGTGGGTGGCAGCACCATGGTGCTGGGCAGTGCCGATGCCGCTGGCGGGGATTACCTGTACGACAGCTTGAACCGCAGTGTGGCCGATGGGTGAACAATATTACGCGGAATATCATGCAAGCTAGACTGGCGGCGGCCGGGAAGCTGCAGGACGAACTGCAGGCCTCAGGAAGCGGTGGAGATCTCAGGACCTTCGGCGAGAGTATCTCCATGAGACCCTTGGCCAAGAACGGTGGTGCCGGGGCCCCGGTTACTGTGACCGGAACGCTACCACCGGAGGCGAATGCCATTTCCTACGAGTGAGTATTGCGGGTGGTGGGGTCCATTGGGAACGAACATTAGGAAAATGTTGGAGCTTGCTCTTTTGGTTTTCACCTAGAGAAAAAAAGATACAAAAAAAAAGATAAACACACACCAAGCTCCATTACCATACTACTTGTTACTATGGCTTGCTGTTTAGTGAGTTGATCGATATTCTTACTGCCAAAACCATTATCGTTTCTGTTTCGTGGCATTTTGTTTGGTCACCTAGAGATGAGCGCCTTAAAGTTTGTAATGGACAAAAGGAGCCGGCCAAGAATACCGACTTGGCAGCACACCAAAGCAAGATACGAGTTTCTAATTAGTTGACTTAGCAAACCTAGTTGCAAATCACAAAATACCTTTAAACTAGCGGATTTAAAACCAATCGAAATAAGACCAACCAACAAACAACTTATTTGAAAAAAGAGCCACATAAACAACAACTTTTACTCAATCCCCGAACATTAATTTCAGCAACCGCAATCGTGGTATTTTATTGCATCCATATAACAATGGTAAGCCTAAAATGCTGCAAATTGCAATAATAAAATTAAAAACAGAAACCAAAACCTAACAATCAACTACAGCATTAATGCAACAGCAACAGCAACAGCAAAAAATGCACAACAATTTATTAACATTATTTAATGTGTTTTATACTTTATTCGTTTTAACTGGATAAAATTCTGAAATTAATTCCGATCGATTGGTTCGTTTGTTGTTTTCACACACTCCCAAAAATTCGACTCTAACAAAAACGCAACAAAATTCTTAACCCGAACACCAATATGACTGTATTCTTATTAATTTGTTTTGTTCAAACTCCGACTATGTAGCTGCTGCATTACAAATTAAACATATTGCAAATTAAAATCATGTACAGACTATCGCCCACTGCGTTCTGTAAGATTCGTTATTGCCTGCGGCATGTACAAATGTTGATATGATAATTCAAATCGAGAGCAACAACACCAAATAACCAATGAGACTAGGCAGCTAATATTTTGTTTTTATTGTAGTTTCCTTGGCTGTTCATTAATCGATAACTAAATTAAAATTAAAAAATACGGCATTATGTTTTCTTAACATTCGTAGTAAGCATTCATTAGATCTTATTTCGGATACCATAGACTAGTTAATGTAGAACAAATGTAGTACTGTTTGAGTGCAGCTTCATTCAACAGCTAAATTAGAAACGCTTTCGCTGCCATATAGTTAAAGTCAAGCAAAACACACAGCCACACATTTCGAAACATAAGCATATATACATTTGAGATTGTTCCAGAGCAGATTATGAACAGGTAAAGTCAAAACATAAATTAAATGGGAAAAAGCGCGTACAATACTTGCAGACTCAGAAGACTGAAGGATAACAAATATTAAAGAATAAACCCTAATTCTATTCTATTATACGTTTCCTTATTTTTATCGGAGCGAAATATTTATTATTTTAAGAACAAGATGCAGCTAATAAATATATATCTGACATCTGATTGGCTGATCTATCTATCGATACAAACCCCCCTTAGTTTACAAAATAACCACTTTACAAAGGGATTGCATCCTCGCCCTAATTAATTAAATTAATACTACTAACCGAAGCGAATGTGGCTCCTTTTGTTAATTACAAACTAATCAATGGAAATAACACATGAGAAATCCAACGTGAAATCGAACTAGAAAGAACAAAAACATATTAGTCAATTGTGTCTGTTTAAAGTAATTTGTCTTTATAACTCTTTCTCACAAAAATCTTCATTATAGCTTAAGTGATTCGAGTTTAAAAACCACCGAGTGCTGAGTTTCGAACCCTGACAAATTCCTGATGGATGAGTTTCGACAGAGTTCGAGGCAGATCACAGAGTCAGAGATCGTTCCTAAAAGATTCAGTTGTGTTTTAATGTTTTCCGTTAAGTTTTGAATGAGATAAATGAACAATTGCAACATTCCGTTACCGTACCGGTAAAGACCATGCTAAAGTTGAGAGTTCCCTGATAACAAAAGTGGATCTAATGACATAACACCTACAACCAGAACAACAAACTACAACCAGAACCAGAAACAACTTTAACAACAACAATCGTTTAACACGCAACAACAGCAACAAAGAGAGAACGTAATTAAAATGCAAACCCAAAGCCCGATATCGATGTCTATATACTCTCCATATATATATATATAAATATATACAATTTTGTTTATATATCTATAAACAAGCCGTGATGTTGTGCCCATCTACTCATAAGCCTTGGACTTGGCTTTACTGAACATTAGCCCCCTAAAAATAAAATATGTGTGTGCGTGTGCCTTGCGACCATGTTAAAAAACCACATCAAAAATACTTACGATACTAACCCAAATCAATCAATAATCAATCGCTGTATTATCGAGCCGAGGATCTGATCGGTGATCGTTGTCTCTCCATTGCTATGCTATATGTTTTTCCATTTTATGCCAGAGCAGCTCTTTCAATGACTCCTCGCTGTTGTCCTTCAATGTTGTGTAATGTCGTCGTCGCTTCCTCTTATCGTTTTGTGTGGAATTTACGAATCACATGGGTGGAGCCTTGGACTCCCTTTGGGTTCCAAATAGAACCCTTCACCAACATTTAAACACTGTGAATACACCATACACTCGCCATATACACCTCTGAGATATGCTTAAGCCGCTTGCATTGTTCATAGAACGCCTGGCCGTAAAACCGTTTAGATGTTAAATAGCCTAAGTATCTGCAAATACTAAGTTTGCCTAGTTGTATACATAATTGCTTGCTTTAGCTAGATAATCTTTTTTGATTTGATTTGAGTTATGCTTATGATATAACCATAGTCTTAAAGGATGTTAACCAGAATGACAATGTTTGAAAACAGTGTTAATAACAATTATAATATCGAATGCCTAACCAAATACTAACTGTAATATTAATAAAAACAAATTATAAGCTTGATGATCAGACACCATGTATATTCATATATATTCATATTCATATATATAATGTAGTAAACAATAAAGAATTACTATATTTAAAATAATGTAATGTAAGTATCAAATAAACCTTAACAAAATATTACAAAAATATATTTTTATAAAGAGATATAACCCTATCACTAGGAATTTAAAGTTTTTATAATATCTTTATGAGAGATAAAGTTTAATTTAGTAAGATTGAAACAAGTAAAATGCAGATTTCCTATGATTGGACATTGACTTTTGATTTAAACACCTATACTTTCTAAAAATGTATATATATATTGTTTAAAAAACCTTTGTATTAGTAGAATTTAGGCTGATTTTATGTTTTACTGTAACATCAAAAATAAGTTAGGTACTTATTTGTAGACATTTTTGAATTGAAAAAATTTAAATATACCATCTACCAAAATTTTGTAAAATACCACAGATCATCAAGCTCTATAATGTTATACCCATATTATGCGTATATATAACTGTATATCCAGCAACGATTCGATATTTTTAATACTTTTTATTAAATTAATTCCAAAATGTATTTGTTTTATTGCGAACATGCAGTCTACGCCCCCAATGGTACTATTCCTGGCCACGAGCGCATGATCCAATCGACACCAGCTAGTCCCTACGATCAGCGTCGTTTACCAACTTCATCTGAAATGAACGGCCTGGCCGAATCATTGATTGGAGGGGTAAGTTTCAGTCAATTGGAATACTCATTTTGATATTATAAGATGCATAACTCTCATTCATTTCGAGGTAACTCGCTAGAGTTACATATATCTAGGCTTAAGGAGAACATTTTTAGAGAGACTAAAGTCAGCTAGGAAATTGTCCTTCGTTATGCATCTCATTATTATAATGTATTTGGTTCTACGCTAATTTATTTCAGCTCAGTTTTGTAGTATTTAATCCTGACTGAACTCATTTAATATATATTTTAGGTACTCGCCGCTGAGGGATTGGGAAATACTGTGACTCTGAGTTCGTGGGGACAGCAGCTCGAGAGATGCGCGAGGCTCTGGACATGACGCCCGAGGAGATGAACCTGGCCGCCCATCAGATCCTCTCGAATGAGCATTCACTAAGCCTGATCGGCAGCAGCAATGGCAGCATCTTCGGTGGCTCGGCCAGTGGCCTGGTTGGTGCCGGTGGTGGTGGTGGTGGTGGTGGTGGCAGCAGTAGCATTCGCAATGCCTTCGGAGGTAGTGGCAGTGGACCTGCCTCCCTGTCGCCACAACATCAGCCATATTCGGGCACTCTACAATCCCCACCGATTCCGGATAATCGGCTCAGACGCGTGGCCACAGTTACGACCGCAAACAATAATCATAAGTCCCAACTTAGCCAAAACAATTCAAGTAATTTAAATAGAGCTAATGCTAATAGTCAAATAAACATGATACCAAACACACAACAGCAGCAGCAGCAACAGTTGCAGCAGCGGCAGGAGAAATCGCCTCAAAGAGGTCAGGGGAATCAGGGTTTCTCCTCATAGCACGCACACCTTAGGCCACATATACAAAATGTCTTCTTGGTGGAATTTTAAATGCACATTCAGCGTAAATGAATGATGAATGTGTTTTATTTAACAGAATTTTATTTGTACATCTAGCGAAAGTTGACGCAGAATGTGTTAATATTTGTATAATTAGCGAAGAAAAAACAGTTTAGTCTTAGTACCGAGAATTGTTCTATTCGAATCGTTCAAAAGGGGAACGATAGCAGACAACTTGTAAAATTTGTATAAATTAAATCAACCAATTGTAGTTGTATAAAATGAATAGTGTTTTTTGCCTTTTTGAGAAGTCTATCTTGGCGCATTGTCCTCCAACGAGCCATAAAACCAATATTAAGCATATAAAATAAACTGAACAACATACTATATGAATGTAAATTAAGGAAATTATATATTTTTGGAAAACAAAGAAACAAAATAAAATTAAACACCTAAACATAACTTGTAATTATATAATATATAAATCAAAACCAAAATGAGTAAAAGGTAACAAAACGGAACAATTTAATTGATTAGAATATAATCACCTAAACAAGAATTGATATACAACATATAATTTTCATTATTGAAGGACAGAGTAATTACCCTATTTCGATTTAGACGCATTTTATTTTTTAAGTATTTAATAATTGACTAATTAATGTTAAATGGAATTGTTTACTATATATATAACAGACAAAATTCATAAATGTAATAGCATAATTTCAACAGAAATGAGAGACGGAACCTATTGAAAAATAAATGTAAACTGAATTTTAATTGTTATGATTGAATTTTTAAAAATAAAAACAACAGAAATATATGAGCAACAGAAAGATGGAAAGTATTTTTTCACTGGGGGTATTACATTTTACTTTGAGGAGATTTCTTAAACTAAAACTCACTAAACAGGATATCAGTAAATGATAAAACAGGGTTAAAAACTAGAGGATACATTTCAGGCCTTATCTATAATATTTGAAATTCTTGTATTTTTGGGTTACAAGACTACAAATTATTCATGAATTTAATTGCAGAGGTATTCTCTAGGTTTTTTTAAAACTACATTTTATCATCAAACAAAAGACCCTTTAAACTTTCATGACAATAATATATATTCAATAACTTTCAATCATATATATTAAACATACTAATTTATATACTGTCCAGCAAATATATTGATTGAAAGTCATAAAATTTAATATGTCATGTCATTTAAATAAAATGTCTTTTTCTTTCAATTTAATTTTAAGCCTGGAAGCAAAAGTGGGTGGAAAACGCCCACAGCTGCATTTCATCATTCAATTGACAAACAACCGCAACGATTTCTGAAAAATATGCTGCAAAAGAAAAAAGACACAAAACGTTTAATAAAACCGGGTGCCATAAGAGGGAATAAACGATGCGGGGAAAACACAAGTTTAATTAAAAAAGTGCAAATTGATTTCGTTTGATTTTTTTTCATATTAATCGATTTGAAAAAGCTGAGCTGAGAGCGGATAGTAAAATAATTTCTGCGAGCATTCTGGTTGTGTGTGGAACGCCCAATTTAAATACATGTGCCAGCCATTCGAAAGTGACCTTCTGACTTCCCCCTATTTTTATTTCTTTTTTTTCTTAGAGTCCCGAGAGCCTGCACGTGTTAATCTGCCACACAAAGGACTTAGAGTGCCTCCCCCACTTGGCCGCAAAAAGGGAATAACAGAAAATAAACAAATAAACACAGAGGCAGAGGCACAGTAGCCGTAGCCGTAGCATTGTTCCATCGATTTTCTGTCTGGTGCATTTTCTTAACATCTCTGGACCAGCCCCCCATTTTCCCGGCTCTTTTCTTTGCACTACGTTGGTTTCTGCACGTTGCAATTTGGCGCTGCTCTCGGTTTGCCAATGCCATTGTTTGACTTGGGCTAATACGAGTATGACTGAGCCCCGGCTCAGTGGGTCCAGTGCTGCGTAAAATACAAAATATGTCCAAGAAAGGACCTTTTCATAGATTGTTGCATTCACAATACGAAAGGATTTTCTTTGAAATAATCTATTATGAACTTTCAAGCAAGTTTGCATGTTGCTTAAATACTTAAAAACAATAAACGATGCTTATATTTGACATGTAAATATAGTAGTTAAAAGTATACCAATATTATTCAAAGAAACTTTGACTTAGTCCTTAATAAAGGACACACCTAGCCAGCACTGCTGTGGACGCTTCTGCAACTGCAATCGAAGGAGCAAAAAAAAACCAACTGTGCTGCTGAGAAATAAAAGAAAATGTGGGTGGTGTGCAGTGGGTTTAGAAAGTGGGGGGAGAGAATTCAACTGAGATTTCCAAAGACAAGACAGGACAGCACTGGACAGGACACGCCACACTGTGGCCACGTCCCATGGCCGGGGATAACGCAAGAAAATGTTCTTAAATTAAATATTTGCCTGGAGGAAATCGGGGCCCAGAGAGCCTCAGAAGCATGCGGTCAGCAATGGCATTGGTGGGTTAAGAGGATATGCAACTAATCATCGTGACATCCACAATGCGACCCTCCATAAATATTTCACATCCTCTCTGGCGATTTCCGTGCAAATATTTCACAAATGCATTGTCATTGTATGCGTGGAAATCCATTGTCCTGGACAAAAGAACATATTTTTATGAGCGGTACAAAAGTTCTTTGATAGAAATATGAACCAAGTAGTAAAAATAATATTAAAGGATTAATAAAAAAAGCCCGTTTCAATAAGTAAAATTGGTCTTATAATAATTTTTATTTAAAGAAAGCTATTTATAGGACTCTTCCCTGAAACATTTGTATATTAACCTACTTAAAGTCAATGGGTTTATTAAAAAAAGGACTATAACTTGCTGAAAACAAACCATTATTGCCACGACAACAAACTCAGCATCATTTCAAAATAGAAAGAAAAAAAACTTCCAGTCGAAGACGAGTCATAAAGCGTTAGAGGGAAACTTGCCCCAACTTGGTCCATTCAAATTGCATTCGCCAGTGCAGAGTTGCTATCCGAATGGAGCCATAAAATGCTGCAGGGCCAATTTGATGCTGGTCGCCAGGAGGTCTGCGAAACATCAGCATAATCCGGGCATCAAACGGCTGACAAACAGCTAGACGAGCCGAAGGATGGAACTTAAAGCTGCGGATGCCGCATCCTGATAACTTCAGGATATCGTACAAGATGTAAAGCCGTTTGCGTATCCGTAATTGCCAAGAGGTGCTTGTGAGGGGTAGAGAGAGTACTACGCATAGTTAGTCGGCCCATTACACAAGCTGCACACGGCATTTAGTTTTTGCCTTTGGGCCTAATTGGCCTCATTATGGGCCCAAGGAGTGGCGCTGCTCATTTGCGATTAACCGCACGTAGAACATAACTACAAACAAAGCGCCGGTGAATCCAAACAAACACAGAAAAAATAAACGGCAAGCGGCAGAGAGGCAGTGCCTCAAAATCATCGGTGAGTTATGTACGATGTGGGAGGGTTAAGGGCCTTGGCCCCCGGCAAATATCCTTTGTGCCTTTTATCTGTGCAGACAGACCCAAGCCCATCGCGGTATCTTCGTATTGTGTTTCATTAGAAAATGGCTAATTTGGTGCGGGAGCTTGGGTGGCGAATACCTATTCATTCGCCGCCGGATGTTCGGTGGAAAAAATCAAGCCAGCCAGAAACTGAGCGGAATTCCGTAAAAGGGAGATCGCAGTCAGTACAAATTACATTCACCGGAGGGCCTCCCCAGCAAAAAGTGTTGATAAATGTATGAAAATTAGTTAGACGCCGCCAAAGGAATGACGATTAGAAGAACCCCTCACGATGGGGAATTAACAAGCACGTGGTTTGCATTAAATTATGAATACGAATTGGTAGTAGGTACATACATATATTTAGAAATAAATTTGTAATAAAATGGTACAGAAATAGATAGTCAAAGACTAGTAGGATTTAAAAGCAATGATTAAGCAGAAATAGTGCTAGAAGATTTTTCGATATTGTAAAATAAAGGGGAGAAGTAAAAGGATTACAAATACGCTCTTCAGCTAAGCTTTAAGAAAACAGTATTTCAACAGAGAGAAGGTACAAAAGAGGGTTCTATATTTATGTATATATTATATTTTGTATGATACTTACAATTAAATAGTTTTACATTGTGCATCAAAATCTCTGTCGAAATATGAATACCAAGTAACACTACGATTTGCATAAATCTTTTAATTAAAAATGCTTTAGATACTATTACTACTTATCCTCTTCATAGTCTTGGTAATTATTTATTATACAATGAGCAACAATTCCCATAACTTTCACATATTAAGGTATGCAAATTTCAGTTAAACTTGCGACTTAACATATTAAAACAATAATGCCTCTAGGGATGATATACGCAACAATTTGAGGCAAGAACACCCGCTGGCATTGCTTACCAGATTAAACAAAAGAGCAGGTTATATATATATATACATATACATATATATATAAAAACGACAAGGAGTGCGAATAAGCCACAAAAAATGTGTCTGTCTGGCTGAGTCAAACTTATCACACAGCGGGCCAAGGAATGGAAGGATGGCCATAGAAATATGTCACAGCAGGCGAAAGTGAAAGACAGCGCCGAAATCCGAGGTGTAATATCCTGCTTGACAGCAACACCAACAACAGCAACAAAAAATAAAATAAATAAATACAAGCAAGCTCGAAAAATACCAGCAAGTGCAGAACAACGAAGTGCCATCAGGGGTAGAGTGAAAAAATGTTTCCAAAATGACAACACAGCGACGGGTGGCCCAAGCCGCCCAGGAGACTTCACAAGAGGCGGCTTAAGCTGATTTCTGTATGTCCTTTATTAAATGTAAGAGATCCCCTTCCACTACAAACATTTCCCCTGCCCTGGCTGTCTGGCATAGTGTCATTGGTGAAAAGTGTTGACCATATTTTTTAACATGTTAACAGCTCTGTCAGAAAAAAATCCAATGCCAAAAAAAATATAATATATAAAAGATTTGAAATGAAATATTTACAATTTGTATGCCTTAAAGAAGGTTAATCTTGAAGCTGATAACTTTGATGAAAGCTTACATATTCTCAATGATAATATATCTATATATATAAAAATGCTCTGTTCGTGTCTACATCCTTCATGGACTCGAAAAGTGCTGAACCGTTTAAGCCCAAATTTTTACACAACATGCGTTGAGGTTCCAGCTCGGTTATTGACTACTTTTGATGTTGATAGCTTATCTGCGGTGGCGAATATATCTATTTTTTTAGCGTTTCCAAGTGCCCCTACTGCTGCGCCATCTACAGGCAGCCAGCTGAATCAAAGCATTTCCTGTCAAACATTCAAAACATATTGAAAGAAGAAACTTGAAAAGTTCTGAACCGTTTATGCCCAAATTTTTAAAGAACATGCGTTGAGGTTCCAGCTCGGTTATTGACTACTTTTAATGTTGAT